CTTCTCGTTCTACTCTAGTATATAAGAATCTACTAGTGTAAAGGAATTCTTTGATCAACCTAATGCCTCTTTTTCATTTCGCATCGGGTCGTTTTTCACGTCAGCTTTATACAAGACGCCTCGCGATTTTAACTTCTTCAAGGATATTGATGACATATATGTTTTAGTTTTAATGTATAAAATCCATTTACAAATAGGATGTTAATCTTAATGTACAGCGGCCATATATATTTTATTTTTATATATTATATTTTATTCTATTATTTTTCTCGAAAATTTTAATTATTTTTTTTATTTCTTCTCTATTTTGTTTAATAAAATTATAAATATACAGTTATTTAAAATAATTCATCTGATTTCAAGTGACTATATTTTTGAAGTTTGTACATAGTGATACATCAATAAAAAAAGCTAGCCAAGTTTTGTCTTTTACAAGGATATTGAAGATATATATGTTTAGTTTTAATGTATAAAATTCATTTACAAATAGAATGTTAATCTTAATGTACAGTGGCCATATATATATTATTTTTGTATATTATATTTTATTCTATTATTTTTCTCGAAAATTTTAATTTTTTTATTTCTTCTCTATTTTGTTTAATAAAATTATAAATATATAGTTATTTAAAATAATTCATCTGATTTCAAGTGACTATATTTTTGAAGTTTATACATCAATAAAAAAAACTGTCCAAGTTTTGTCTTTCACCTTCTTTTACACGAGCAACATCGAGGCGATAGTCAAATTCTATACTCTAGCATATCCGTTGTCACCGACTCCACAGCTGTAACAATGCGATTTTTGAGCTCATCCAAAGGGTTGTGACACCTACATAACATTTTTAACGCATCCCCCAAAGGGATCACCGGATATTTTCTTTTTATAGGAGTAAGGTTTTAAGGACGCTGTATACGTGCAACCCTGGATGAGTCAAAAAATTGCATTGTCAAGGAAAGTCACATCGAGCATTTATAAGAAATTGGATAGTTTTCCTATTGATTGACATATCACTAATCACTGTATTTGTAAGCATAAAAAATGTAGTGAATCTTCTGTGTATTTTTTTTGAATAAATATAATTAAGAAGAGAGATAAATCAAATTTTTTTCCGACTTCTATAGATCCATCCCTGAAAAAGCTAATTTATAAAAGGCGAGAGACAAAATTGGATAGTTTTCCTATTGATTGACATATCATTAATCACTGTATTTGTAAGCATCAAAATGTAGTAAAATCAGACGAATTATTTTAAATAATCTTCTGTGTATTTTTTTTTTTAAATAAATATAATTGAAAAGAGAGATAAATCAATGTTTTCCAATTTCCATAGATCATCCCTGAAGAGGCTAATTTATAAGGCGAGAGACGAAATAGATTGGATAGTTTTCCTGTTGATTAACGCATCACTAATCACTATATATATTTGTAAAAGTTTAAAAAACACAGTCATATCAGACGAACCATTTTGAATAATCTTCTGTGTATTTTTTTTATACATATGATTGAAAAGAGAGATAAATCAAATTTTTTCCAACTTCCATAGATCATCCCTGAAGAGGCTAATTTATAAGACGAGAGACAAAATAGATTGGATAGTTTTCCTATTGATTGACATCACTAATCCCTATACATATATTTGTAAGTTTAAAAAACACAGTCATATCAGACGAACCATTTTGAATAACCTTCTGTGTATTTTTTATACATATGATTGAAAAGAGAGATAAATCAAATTTTTTTCCGACTTCCATAGATCATCCCTGAAGAGACTAATTTATAAGACGAGAGACAAAATAGATTGGATAGTTTTCCTATTGATTGACATCACTAACTCCTATACATATATATATATATATATTTGTAAAAGTTTCAAAAACGCATGCGGTCAAATCAGACGAATCATTTCGATGAAAAATCTTCCGTGTGTTTCGAATAAATATGATTGAAAAGAGAGATAAATCAAATTTTTTCCGACTTCCATAGATCCATCCCTGAAGAGGCTAATGCGCGGAATCCTCGGGACACGTCGCGTGTTTTACGGGCTCGGATCCCATCTGTCGAGAATTAAGAGGCAGAAAAAGAGAGAGAGAGTCGCACCAATTTCGGGATTAGGGTGACAGTACACCACGGAAAATCTGGCCGTTTCTCTGGCGCGGGATTCAGCGAGAGAGGATTCACCCACGCATCCATCCATCCACCCTCGCAAACATATACACACGTAGAGAGAGAGAGAGAGAGAGTGAAAGAGAGAGTTGCGAAATTATCGTCGAAAACTGGCGCGACACAGTTTCCTCCTTCGGCTACTTTCGCTTACCGCTTTCAATCAAAATGAGTCCTCGCAAGAGGATCATTCACGTCGCTTTTTCGCATTCACGGTGTCGCGAGTATATCTCTCGAAAAGCGGGATATTCGCGGGGATGATTTATACCTGCGCCCACGTAATCTCTCTCTCATCCGTAATCTGACGCAGCGAGATTTTAAGGACGCAAAGGTCCTCCCCTTCCTCTCCGATATTATATCCTCGGCATCGCAATTTTCGCGTTTCCGAGAGAGAATGTTTCGTATATATATATATACATATACCTTTTTGAATCTAAAGGACGCGTTTTAATGAAGAAAACGAAATTATGCAACTCGTCCGCAAAAACGCGAAACTGGTAGCTCGAGGGAAAATTAGTCCGACAGACGAGAGAGTGGAAGAAAGTTTTTGATATATAAATCATTTTACAGATATTCACCGATTATACTTTTCGCAAAGGTGAATTCATAAGCCACTTCTTTTTTTTTTCTTTTGCTAAATGGCGATGTTGCAGGAGTCATTAGCGTCGCAAAAACTTCGGGGAGCTTGCATGTCGTTATTGCGTTAATTAGTGTCGGGTACCCCCTTGGTGGCTCTTTGATATCTAGACGAGCCAAACGACAGCCTCTCGCAAAGGCAGGAACTGAGGTGCTATTTCACGCGAACCCAAGGGCTCGGTGAATAAGAGAGGAATGGGAGAAAAAAAGAAGGGGCTCGAAGGGCTAATTAACACCTTGCGGTTGAAAGAATTCTTAGCAATCGTGCCTTTTAATACGGAAAGTGGGCGCGATTTTATTCAAGGAGTTGATAACGAAGAAGGAAGTCCAATCAAGCCGATTCAAAGTAAACGCTTAATCGAAAACACGGATTTGCCACTGAACGCGGAACGTTCTTCATCAAAAGCTCTATATTTATTTACCCGTTCGATCTACTCGCGTCAGCCTTTACGTTCACACTCGTATCTATCTGTTTTTCATGACTCCAAATTACATGTATATTAATCATTTTCTGACTAACTATCGAATTCGTGGAATAATTTAGTATTTTGAATAAATTATTATATACAACGAATAATTGTGTAGGCGGGTACAAAATAATTTAATATATATTTATTAAATAAAAGATAAATGAATAATTAAATAAAAATAAATTTAATTATTTAAATAGAAATAAAAATAAATAAATTGAATAACGAATCATTGTATGGAAAGGTACAAATTTCATTCATTAAATCAAAATTAAAATTTACTTGTTTAAATAAAAATAAAAATTAATAAATTACATGAAATAAAACATTAAATAAAAATAAATGAATTATTATGAATGACGAATATTTGTGTTGACAAGTACAAAATAATTTAATTCGTTAAATAAAGATAAAATCGAATATTAAAATGAAATTATTTAAATAATGTCCTGATCATGCACAAACCTTGCAATCGCGAAATATATACGAGCGTTGTAACATAATTATTACGGGTTGCGAGACACACTCGTTCATCAGATAGCGTTTAAAGGGACTCTCTCGTACACGATCTCCGGCTAGCTTTACACCTGGGATAAGTGCCTTTCGAACAATCACGCGAGATATCGGAGGCTGCGATCTAAGCTGAACAAGATTAACGTTTTAACCCCGATTTATCTGATCGCCTGTTAAGATTAAGCGCAATGTGACGCTATTTTTCTCGCGTTTTCGAATCTCTCATCATGCAAATGAGACGATCGTTCTAAATATCTTGAAAATCCAAAAATATAATAGAAATTGCACGAAGAGAGCAATTTTTTTTCTTGCAAATATAAGATAACTCGTCAGACATACATATTTTTAAACAAAACTCGAACGATTTATATATAATACGAATTTTTTGAAATTTTTATTGAATCGACTCCATAATATATTTGAATCGACTCCATAATATATTTGAAACGTCAGGTTAAATATAGGTTAATGATATCGAATGTCCAATTACGGTCTTACGTGGCTTTCATTAAATCATGCTACGAAATAGTATCCTAGAGATATTTCATATTGTGGATATTATGGGCTTTTGTTGTGTGTTCTGTATGGAATAGAAATTTATACCCTGAAATGGATCCTATTAATAATCACAATTTTGGAAATTTATGGACCTGCGTTATTTTCGAACAAATCGATTCAAATAAAAAATATATTTCAAAAGTACATTTTATATTCATTATATTCTAATCGTGATTTACTCAAATTTAGTGTAAACTATCAAGGTATAGAGATTATATTTTCCAATATTTTTTCACTAGCAGAATTTTTTTATATATAAAATAACGATATAGTATCTTTATATTATAGAAATACAAATTTTAATTTCTTTATAGTGATCCTTGTCTCGTCTTTAAGTAAATCTTGCTTCCTAATTAAGGATATTAAGGAGCTATTTATTTTAAGCCATTAAAACAATATAATATATTGCCTCTGGCGAAGAAAATTAAAAAAGCAATCTAATATTGATTCGCAGACATCTCTCTTCCGATCGTTAATAGAAATATATATATATGTACACACATTATATACGTAATTGAAAGAGACGAACGTTGCTTGCACAGTGCGTGATATATTTTCGAAAAGACAATGTGAGACTTTTCTCCGCGCTATTTTTCAAGCACGGACACGGTGCCATCCGTAGTTTGGAAAACTCCGTTGTAAAGAGTTACGGCTCTTACCTTCACGTGCCCATATTTCCATGTGAAAAGAACGACGGCTGGCAGGCAGGCGATGATGCAGCACTCCAGGATAAGTATCGCCGTTCGCATCAACCAGTTCAGGGATACGACGCAAGGCGAACCGTCCTCGCAGGACTCGCATCCTTCGGCGCACGGCAGACATTCGAACACTCCGCTCTCGGCATATTGGTTCTTCTCGCCCTGTTGACAAACGTGAAATTATTTTCCTTACCGGCGAAAAGTGACACTTTGCACAAGGAATGCAAAACGCCATTCTTCAAACATTGGCACCTCGAGGCTATATAATAGATAAAAGAGGGAGAAAGAGGTTTTCTGTATCTCTTTGTAGAAGAAACATATTTTTCATGCATCGATTTTTCCATTTTTCTAGATATTCTCGTGTTGTAAATTAAATTTTTAATATATATACAGTAGGAAAATTTGTGTTTTTTTTTCTTTTGTTAAAAACGGTCCCCGTTAAAATTTTTGTATCAAATATTTAACACATTTATGCGTTAATTGAGCTTAATTAAATGTTCAATTATTAAAACAAGTGAAAAAATTACACAATGTGCATCCATTTTTAATTTTACATAATATGTTCCGTTTTATTAGCGACAAGATTTATCTGTGAAAATTTACAGGAAAAATGTTTGATTTTTTTATTTCATAATATAAGTGGGGATCTAATATTAACTTATTTTTAGTTCATTTTTACATTAAAAATAGTATTAATTTTACACAAAATTTATTTTAAATTATTTAAAGTTTTTTATGTTAAAATATAACACAGCATTTGCGTTTCCATTTAACATATCGATATTATTGTTAAATTAACACAACAATTTCTGTGCATCGTTTGAGATATGTGATATCTATTAAATTTAATACAAATTTTTCAGCTGTGTACCGGTGAAAAGCGATGAAAACATTCTGCCAAGAAATGCATAACGTCATTCTTCAAAAATTGGCACATCAAAGCCATATAATAGATAAAAGAGGGAAGAAGAAGTTTCTCCCATATCTCTTTAGAAGAAACATATTTTCAATGCATCAATTTTCTCAATATTCTCGCATTGTAAATTAAATTTGTAATATATGTAATAAATTTTGTAATTTACTTTGCAATCTTTATTGCGCGGTTTTGGCGATTAATAAATCTACTTTTTATATAGACTATATAAATTTTTCTTCATACATATTTTCATATAATAGTCGACGTAAACTCCTAAAGATAAATTAGAATCGACGCATGTCACGGCAAAGCGATTTAAAAAATAAAATGACGAAAATTTATCTATAAAATATATAATTTTGCGATAGCGCGAAAAAAAACCCTCGTGAAAAATTACGTACACCATAAAATTCTCAGCGTCTGTCAAACGTGCGAGATATTAGCAGGCGCGCGTGTCGCGTGTACGACGGACGTAAAAAAAAAAAAAAAAGATATGATTTCTGTATTTGTCTCTTTCGGTCTAACGGTGTCTCGTATGTGTTTTCGCGTGAAAAATTAAGGGGTGATAATTTTTCCGAGCAGCACCTTTCCCAGACGACGACGACGTTCTTCCAACAATGCGCGCGCATCAACGGCACTGTCCGCGGTGTCCGTCGTCGTTTCGTGGGGAAAAAAGGTGACACGTCGTTAATATCCAAGCTCCGGTTATTAAGGATATTCGGCGCTGGAGATGTCACCCATTGTAACCCGTCGCGGTTACAAACGGTCGCGCCAACTATGACAACGAAGGGCGTGCGGGTGCAAAATGGTTTTGCCGCGGATGGAAATGCCCATCAAATCACAAAAGATACGTAACACACGGTGACAATAGATGATTCCATCGCGCGCCTCGCTGTCGATATCCATTTTGCTTCTACGGGCGTAAAAGTGACGGCTGGCACGAACGACGGACGGAAAACTCTACTACGGGAGAAGAAAAAAAAGCCGCCATTTCTCCGCCGTCGTAAATAGAATGCGTTACCCCGTTCGTTCGTCGCCTGTAACGCTGTTGCCGCCAGTACGATTTAATTGCACTTTCGCGACAATCTATTCTGCGATCCTATTTCCGAAGGCAGAATAGAGAGAGAGAGAGAGAGAGAGAGAGAGAGAGAGAGACTGGATGTGACGACGAAAATGGAATGCGATCTGATATCGACTGAAGATTTCTCTGAACTTTGTTAGAAATATTAATAAAAGCATTAATTTGTGCTAATTAAAATTATATGTTATAAATAATATATTATATATACTACTTTAAACTTAATTAATTTTTGACAGAAATCAGCTGATAACTGTCAAAAAATAAATGATTAATTTAAAAATAATATGTTATACTACTTTAAACTCAATTAATTTTTTTGACAGAAATCAGCTGATAACTATCAAAAAATATTAATCGTGTTTAAAGTGTATTATAACATATTATTGAAAACTAAAACAAGCCATATTTTTAAACGTGCTTTTCATTTTTCAACGAAAAAATTCCTTCTTGCATATAATTATTTAGTTATATATTATCGCATTATCGTAACTTTTTATTTGATTTGTATTTGTTGCGACTGAATTATTAACTTATGACTCATGACAGATTAAAACTGATTATTCTCTTTAATAAATTACTCTTTAATCGAGAAATCAATTCCACGTAGACATGGCAAATGGTGTCGTGTTACGGTACGCATAAGCTGTCCCATTTCTATTGCATTAAACTTTAATGACCGAATCTTCCGTCAATTAACCATGAACCTCAAACTAATCGAGTACTTTGTGAAAGGAGCGATGCCATTAGTGCCATGACAAGCGTTCATTGAAATTTGATGAGACCGAAACGACATCTTCTGTCATATTTGTTATATCATATCGTACGATTTCACGCTGTGATAATTTTTCTATTTCTCTCTGGAGGGGAAAAAAATGGGACAGAAAATAGAGAGAAATATTATATATCGAGCAGCGCATTAGTTGTGGAGCGTAAAGTAGAGCAAAGCTATTTCTGGTTCGGCTTTAAACCACTCACCATCATCAATTTCTCGTACTCTTCCTCTATGACAGTGCCATTATAGTACCTCTTGTCCGATTTCGTGTCCGGATAGTAGAAGCCTCGTTTGCAAACGCATCGATAACTACCTCGGCGAAAACCAAGTCCGGGAATGGCGATGCACTGCGAACAGAGTGTGGATGAAACGATTAATTGTATCTAATCAATTCTAGTTGTATCGAATCCTTTCTGCTATTAAGAGTAACTATGTGTAGCAATCCATCGAAATTGTTTCGACGAATTGTTCGCTCATTTCTCGGCTGAGAGAACAATCAACATTTCTCTCTTGGTCAACAATAATATATATTCATAATATATATACATATTCATAATATACATTTACATACACGTTCATAATATATATTAATGTTATATATTCTACATTTTTCATTAGAATAAATGTGTGCTACGCATATCTTGTGAAACGTTGAAAAATTTATTTAGTCAAAAATTAAAATTCTACTTTAATCGAATTGGTTCGCGCGTATATATTACTTACATAAGTAAGGTTCGCGGTAGCGTGATTTTTTGATTGCCGTAAACAATTTAATTAATCTTCAATCCAGAGGTTTTTCGAACATCTAATATTCCCAAAATTTAATGATTAAATAGATAAAATCGCGAAAATTGGAAAGAAATTTTATGTTTAGAGTACTTCAATTTAAAATTTAAGGGGATGTACTCTCACTTGAAAACAACAAAACTGATCATGTTTCACTAGAAGAGATTGCATGTAGCGTAAAAAATGACGAAATACATTATTTTTCATACATATTTATGTAGCTATTACCGTTTACTTTTTTTTAAAAAAGAAACGAGCGAGGCAATATTAAAAATAAAGTTATAAAGTAAATATCATAAGCTAAAAAGTGTCATGGCCCATAAAACGGAAATCTATGATGGACTATGGCTTCAGTGATCCAGACAACTGCATGGTTCAGTGATCGAAACAATTTTATGTTGCAAACGTATTACTCGCAATCATATATAGAAAACTATAAAAATTGAAATGACGAAAAAAGAAAAAATAAAATACGGTGAAATAACAACTATCGAAAGTTAAAGGTATAAAAATATTGGGAAAAATGATTTTTCATATTATTTTTGTAAGAAAAAAACATGCTTATTTTTATCTACAAACAGATTCAGGATTAAGCCTGTTTGCAACGTTATCCCCCAATTGTAAAAGTCGCCTCTTTTCTAAATTTGCATGAGTTATCGTTAGCCGAGGATCGGAAAAACGTGGTTTCAAACTTTGGGGCTTACACAAGGAGTCGGGCGACATTGATCTATTTTACATCTCGCGAAATTTTCGAAATTTTTCTCGTATATCACTGCATTATTACGCGTAAAAGAAATGAAACTTTCAAACAAATTTCAACTAACGTATTCCCAGAACGAGGCAGATGTAAATTGAATAAATATAAAAAAAAAAGTGTGAAATTTTTATTTTCTATCGTCAAAATTCTATAAAATTTGCAATTGAGATAAAAAAATATATCGCGCCACGCGACACACCATTTAAATATTAATTCCTATCGTTCCGGAACGCAAGCTTGCTATCCAATAACTCGAACGCTATTTCTAAAGATTATACTAAAATATTTTGAAAGCCTCCGGAGGGCGAGCTCCGGGTTTTCTTGCGGGGTTTTAATTTATGAAAAGTAAAGCACGCCGATAACGCTCCGCGGTTTATTATGTCCGGGGACAAAAACGCTGGCGCGAGCAGAGCAGCACGTAGCCGTGTTTTTCGCACCACCCTGCTATACAGGAGTTCCCGTCCTCCCTCTCTCTCTTTCATTCGCGCGATAGGGTCGAGAGTGGCATTTACAAATAGAGTCGGTCGCCACGTGGAAAAACATTCCCCCGGTGGCTTTGTTCTCCATTCGGTGTACGGCGTGTTTAAGCGCGCGCGCTCCGGAAGGACACTCGCGGGAAACATCGATCCTGGAGGGTTGCGACGGAGAGAGAGGGAAAGAAGGTGTAGAATGCGCGACGAGAAATTAGCATTACCTCGGTGGTGCGCTTTTTGCACTTGTCGCTGGCGGCGAATATGTTGAGCTGCGTGGATCCAACCGGCAACGGGCACTGATCTATGTCTACCCGCCGAAGGTCTATGTCGATGCCGCTGGTGCCCCTGCGAACGATAAATCAAACGCGTTTTGCGATTAAACTCTGCACCACGTATATAAGATGGGCTTAGTTAAGACTTGAGCGACCCCGGAGAGAAAAGCGCGCGCTGTGTAGCGCCACTTATCGAAATTAGATTAGTAGTGGAAACTATAACCCCCTGTTTTTACGTAATTTAAACAGTTCTCGGTAATGGAAACTAACATCTGTTCCTAACTAGTCTATCTTCGTTCAACGTATGTCTCGTTGTACATAGCTGAGCTTTTTCGCGTCCTTGGATCGCGAGTTTTTAAATAGACTTCTCTTTTTATTATGTATATTAAAATATGACATCGAAATGTGACAAAAGAGAATAAATTGAGAAGAGTGTAAGAAGGTATGAAGATAAAGGAATTTTATTATATGTCAGGAAAAAGGCGGATTCCTTAGAGGATACGTTTTAGATCGCGAGTTCTAAAATAGATTTCTCTATTAAAATATGCCACCAAAATGTGACAAAAAGAAAGAAGAAAATTGAGGGGATTATAAGAAGGTATGAAGGTAAAGGAATTTATTATATGTCAGGAAAAAGATGGAAAGGACTCCTTAAAAATACATGTACCATGAGATAAAAGTAAAGGTGTATCATAAGTGATACTCTTGTGACACCATTCTCTTTTTACGTAATATAATCTTTAACGTGAAATCAGATTATATACTCTTGCTTCCCGTTTCCTAATGCATAATTCAACACGCGTGCGCATACTGAAGCCGATTATGCGTGCAATATATCTTCTCGTTGATTCTCGACTCGTGTAATCCACATGCGCGATAATCCTTCCTCTCTAACATAAATAAAACACAATAGGAACTGCTTTGTACGATAAACAGAATAAATCTCAGTGAAGATAATATATTTATAATATGTCGCTTATTGCAAATGTATTTTTTCTTTTAAGTTTAAACAATTTTGCAATTCTTTAAAAAGGTCTCGTATAATCCGTTCTTTAAAAATTCTATTAAAACTTTGTTGGCATCCTTATTCTAATTCTATTAAATTAGTTGTACCGAAGAGATCTCTTTTTCCTGATTATACCTACATGTATAAATAAATAGAAATTTTCTCTTATAATTAGATATACGTGTGAATGTGATTATTAGAATTTAAATCATAGTAGTCTAAGACAATATAATATCGAAAGCAATTTTATAAGAGTTTCTCTAATTAATATTCACCACAATAAAAATATTAATATCGCAATAAGATATAAAATATGTTCGATTAATTTTACTATGTATACGTATTAATATTTTTATTGTGGTAGATATTAATTAGAGAAACTCTTATAAGATTCTTCCAATACCATATGGTCCTACGATTACCATGATTTTCAAGGTAAATTCTAAGAGAAAATTCTCTCCGTGTATAGACTAGAATTTTATTGTTAGTTGGTCAAAATAATTATTTTTCAATCGTTTAAATTCAACTTGAATATCTCGACATCGAAAAAACGGCGTTATTATTTTTCAGCTGCTCTCTCTCTCTCTCTCTCGCTTTACGTTAAACGACTGAATAATGTTATCGTAGATCGTGAAAACACCTGTCTAACAAATATAACTGTATAACTTGTTCAATTTTTCTCTCTTTCGATAGTTGGCCGGTATCGATTCTTGATTTGCAAGAATTACGATGCGTTCGCAGTCGCGCTGATAACAAATTTCCTTTAACGGATATTGCATTCTTCGAAACGGCGGCATAGCCCCCGTTCTTTTCTGACTGTCGGCATTTACCATGATTTCTGTGCGCAGTGGTCCGTGAAATTTTGCATTTTTGGATTCGAAGCGGGAGAGCGACGTTATTTCCGACGTGCAATTGCGAGCAAATTTTCGCTATCCTTTCCGCGAACATATCACTCGGCTATTTCGCAAATGGTGATTTCGCTTAGTCCAGTTGAATGGAAACGTTTCAATGTATAGCGAAAACGCTGTAATTTACTTGCATAAACGTCACACTAAATAAGTTTAATTTCTTAACTATAGAAATGTTGAAATTCAATCTCGATTTTCTTTTACTAGTTTTGATACAGAAGTTAAACAAAATAGAGAAATAAGAGGGAAAACAAAAATATTAAAATACATATAATACAAACAAAAATTGCTAAAAATACATCTATTTATAATTAAACGTCAATTATTTTCCAAAATAAAACGTATAAAGCTGGTTTAAAAACATGGAATTTATTTTTCAATTCCAATTACCCATGTTCCAATATAATATTAAAAAAGTTAAATTAAAATATATAAATAAATTTAAAAATATTTAAATACAAATACACAAGCAGAAAAGCAATATCTCGTTTCAAATACCAGAGAGCAAAATACAATTTTATGCAAAATCAATTCCCTTCAACCGCTATTTAATTGTGCATCAGCGTCCATTGACAATAATTTTATAACAGAACCATAATGTTTAATTATAGTTTCATATCCCGGCTGAAGACGGAATGCGAAAGCCTTGGCGTCGTAAGTTTTCGGAAAAACATTCAGGACCAAACACGAGGCAAATGCGAAAATGGCAATAACGTACCTTATCCGCGTCTATAACGCCACGTGCGACTACTGCCGTGAAATTGCAAGAATTTCCGCCCGAATTGTGGCAGAACTGAGTTGTAAAGGATACCATTCCCCATTCCCTACGTTGGAGGCCAGTAACAATTAATATCTAACTACATTGTTTCACAGAAAGAGAGAGAGAGAGAGAGAGAGAGAGAGAGGAGAAAGAGAGAGATTCTCGCTCTGTTGACACAGAGACTTCAAATAGCTGCTTGCGGAATAGAACTAAAAGCCCTCCAAACGGTTAAATCAATTTGCATAACTGAGTTCCGTTCGTACTTTAGATTAACTCTTCGTCTCGTGTGACAGAGACATATTCAAATTTGCCATTAAAATAAATTGAATATTGATTAAACGTCGTCGTCTTTTATCTTGTCTTTTATATATAATGTATACGTTATTTCTATATAAATATTTTCCTTTTCTTTTTGTAATCGGTACAATCCTGTCTGCGCCTAGATTAAATCTGTTATCCTTTCACAAATATATATGTTTACAAACAATACCCTCTCATATTGATCACTTTAAAATTCTTGTTCGGTATATAGATTAAAACATGATTTTGTTTATATAGGAAAATAGGTGATTGGATCACGTTCTCTGCATGCGAAAATCAACTAACAATGTTGTGGTTGTTGGTCAGATTTTTCATGCTGCATTTAATCCAATTATTCTACCGAGTAACGTCAGTTAATATAAATATTTGAAAACTGGGAGAGAGACACAGACAAGTACCATACACACTCGCAATGGAATAAAATTAGATTAAGTAAAATATCATATATGAATACAGTAAAAACAAAATTACGAGATAAAGCTGCGTTTAGCTGCGTAGAGCTTGTTTTTTTTTTTTAATTATTATCGAATAGTATTTAAATACTGATGCTATATATTTTGATAATTTACAATTTAACTTTACAATTTCGTTGCAATTCATTAATTTATAGCACAATTAATTTGATTTCAATTAAAAAATTTAATTTAAAATGTAAAAATGAAAACAGGAATTGTGATATAATCCCCGATAAAATTTCTATTGAAGAAAACTCGGGGAAGTTCAGGTCGCAAACATTCCACGGCTACAAGAAAATACGATTATTTTGCAATACTCCTTATATAAGGACATATTTAAGCTGTAAGCAATGCGCGGCTGGGCTATAATAAGATTCTATAAGGGGCACGATATCTGCATACTTCGTCGCCAGGAAGGTGAGGAATGCTGAAAATATCCCGACCCCGCATTCGTCAAATTGGCCATATCGATTATCGATTGCAGCCACGAAAGGCTTGGGTTTCAACGATGAGTTCCGAATTATCATCGCTCTCCCGAAAGCGCGACTTCATCTTCCATTAAGTTAAGTAAGATAGCGGTGTTCATTATTGTGTTCCATTAAATGCATCTAAACTTTGAGAGATAATCGATAACAACGATAATTTCCACTAAAACAGTCAATGATTTATATTAAATAAATAATTACACAGTTTTTTCTCATTATGTAACCATTTTATTTACTTTTTCAATTTTTCTTACTAATTTACAATATTAAAATATTAAGAAAAAATGAAGAAATAAATATGAAGAAATATTAAGAAATAAATTATTATGTTTTAACTTTGTTTCATCGTGAATTAATAAGAAAAATTGGAATAGTAAAAAAAAAATGGTTACATAATAATTGGAGAAAATAGTGTTGTACTCTTCACGTAAACAGTAGCTTTTATATAAGAAATATAATAGAAAATCTAGTCCCGAATTAATGAGAAAAGACAATCCCATATCTGATCTCGATTTTCCATATTCATCTAGCATGTACCAATTATCCACTAATTGGACCTAATTGATTTCATCTGCTTGCTCCTATTCGGCGTTGCCTTCGTTTATTTAATCCTGTGAAGAGCTAGGCGCATGTGTATTTCATTATCCCAACTTATCCCCCTAAGAATGCGCCAGTACGTGGGGCGTATAATCATCGGCGTGTAATTCCGGGGCAAAGTTACGTCGTAGGTATATAATAAGGTAACCTGTTAAACCATATAAATTAGGTGCGCATGTGCCTCGGAGGTTTTAGCAAACTCTCGATGCCGTGGTAACGCGGTGACCCGTGTCGAAAGCCGGGGTCCAGGCCGGTTACCGTATTACAAATTAGATCCGCTAACTCTTCTCTAGCAGATAATTCGCTTAAGCGTCCGGGCGCGAAATAGAGCGGGCAACCCGACGTTTCTTGGCTAAGTGGATTTTTCAGCCGGACACAGAACCGACTGACTGGCAATTACCTGTAATTATCACGACATCGCCAAACCCGCACCTGAGAAATTAAGGATCCGATCGGAGAAACTTGGGAACAAACAAGAGAGCTCTTCCCGAGAAGAGAGAGAGAGAGAGAGAGAGAGATACAAGACGTTCGCGGCCGATTG